AAAATGAAATGGTTGGAAATTTCAAACCGAAAATAATTGGAATTTGAGTGTTTAATCGTGAAAATCATGGGAAACGATGAAACTCTCCAACGTTTTCTACGAAATCGACCTGTTTTGATCGTTTTACTCACTCTCTCGCTCTTTTTGGGTATAGGTGTATATATGTATGTGTATCTCTTTCTCTTGAAATCGTCGATTTCCGGGTGGATATATCACGAATACGTCGGCCTGCGATAATGTTCGATTAGCGTTATATATGATATAAATAATTTGCATTGTCCCTCTCGCGTCAGCGGTAAAGTCGACAATAATGCGTCGCGATCGTTCCCGTACTGCACCTACCTTGCACAAAACCGCGTACATTATCCGATACTAACGGGATTTGTGAATGACACGATAAGCATTCGGGAATACAGAGGAAATAATATGGGATCGTTATAAACGAATACGTGTGTGTGTGTATGTATATATAATTTATGATATTTAATATAATAATGTTATAAAAAATTGTAGTTTACCTACACCGATTTGATGAATATTCTTTTATATTTCAGATTCCAATATTGACCTATTTTGAACCCTGAAAAGAATTAATTAATTATAATGTAATCAAATGCTTGCGTTGATTTATTTTAAAAAAAAATTTTTTTTTGATAATTGTAAATACGATTAATTATATTTTATATTATTATTAGTGACTTCGGCCACGCGTTGATGTTGCTTTGTTATAAAATGTTGTTTTAATTTAATTCTAAACTATTTAGTAAATTATAAAAATACAAAAAAAATAATACCACAATTAGAATGGAATATATAAAAAAATAATATACAGAAAATAGAAAAAGTAAGGTTATGTCGTATGTAAATTGAAACAATTGAATTGAAATACGACGCCATCTATTGAATACTTAAACAACATAGAGATTTAGATAACCTTTAAATAATAAATCTTTAAATTAGCAATAAAAAATACAAAATAATCGCTATAAAAACTATCATATATGTTAAGTTGAACAAAATCACACAAAATAAAAAAAATTTCATTAATTTTATATGTAAAGATGTTAATTTACGAAAAGAATTTGCTATAAAAGTAGTATAAATTATTAAAATATTGAAAATTAGAAAATGACTAATCATTTTTAAGAAGATAAGTATTAGATATTTCTCATTTATTTTTCGAATTATGTTAACATACATATTAAACAAAATAAAATATAATATCAATCAAAAATTAAAATTGATTAATTTAAATTAGAAAATAAGAAAAAATCTTAAAAAGAAAAAAACAAAAAGTATTATTGATCTACTTTAACGAATATCGTTTTAAGAAAGTTCGGACAACGTCAAAATGACGAAACGACACAACGAATACGACAAGAACGATAAATCGGAAGTTAACTCGGACCAATGTCAGAAATTAATGGAATCTGCCCAGTATACGTGTAAGTTCTCTTTAAACGTATTCGATGCTGTCAACGAATTCCTTGATAGACTAGTTCTCTCTCTCTCTCTCTCTCTCTCTCTCATTAAATGGTTTTGTAACTGGATTCTGCTAGCAACCGAGAAAATGAGACTGGACGTCTCTACTGCGTGTTTTGACATCGATCAAAATTCTAACATTATTATTATAATGATACATATTTTCATAGAACTTATTGATATCACACGTCATTTACAAAAGTTTTAGTTTATTTCTTGTTTCTAAATTTGCAGTAGATATGTCATGTTTTTTTTTTTTATATTATCTATTGATTACCATGATCGTTTGGTTGAGTAGAAAAGTTGTTCCTAAAGTGAAAATACATATTTTCTTTTTTATTTTCTATTTAACTCTTTCAAAATAATTTTTATACTGTTTTAGTTTTCCATATTTATATTATTATCACGATTTTTAATATTTCAGCTGTGCTTAATTTTTTTTTTTTTATCATTTAATCGACTATTGCAATGATTGGTCTATCAGAAAAAGATATATCTTTTATTGAAATATTATATAAATAATATTTGCATGCAAATTTTCATATTGAAAATGTATTAGACTATTTTCATGCAACATGTAGCAATACTGCATCACATTTACAAATACTACTCATTGTTTAAATATTTTTTTGTAAACAAATGTCCAAATGTATTGAATTTCCTTTCATTGTTAAAACGCAATAATTTCTTAGTCAAACAAGCAAATGTTGCAAACGTTTTGGTTTTTTCTTTTTCTTTTATGATAAGGTAAAGAATTTCAATTTTTTAGGTTGAAAGTATCAGACAGATTTGATTAAGTATTATCGAAATTATATGATCTTAAATCATTCTCAAAAATATGAAGAAAATTTGTATCCAATTCAATATATATTTTGAAGCCTTTATTATGCATCAAAGTAGAATTGTTCATGCGAAGAGCCTTTGCCAATTTTACTCTACGTTTCAAGAACTGTTTATGTGTATATGCATATAGATACATACATATATATATATATATGTATATATTTCTTTTTATTCAGCCACAATCGGTCGTGTATGCGAAAAGTACATAAACGGATAGATCCATGGAGATGGATAAAGATCTTTTCAAAGCAGAAACGTGTCGTTTTTTTCTTTCTTTTCTATGAGAGATAGAAATAGAGAGAAAGAGATAGTATAAATGCTTTTTGGCAGAATTCCAAAATTTCTTATAGCGTGGAAGGAGCAAAATGTGCAGCTCTGTGTATCGATTATTTTATCGTTTGATACATGATTTTATTATTATTATTATTTTTTTATTTATACGTTACTATACATTCTTTTTTTTTTATATCACTTAATTCCAAATAAAAATGGTGTCACTTGTATCGCCATTAGAATTATATATTCTTTTAATGCATCATTTTTATTGTGTCGAATAATCAATCAAAAAGATTCGTCAATGATAATAAAAGAATATTTATAAAGAATTTTTATAATGTAAAGAGTTTTTAATAAAATTTATATTTCAAGTTACATAATTAAATGTAGATAATCATTTAATATTAATAATAATAAAATAATATTTGTACTTAGTATTGTCAAAGAAATTAAATAAAAAAAAAAAATCCTTTGAAATCGAATAGAAAAATTCTAATAAAATTAATAAAAAAAAAAAAAAAAAAAAAAAGAACAAAATCCTATCCGTAATATTTTAAAACAGGTTAATCACAGTGGCGTATTAATTTACAGTAATTTTCCTAATTAAAAGATATTATACACGCTTCTTAAGTTTCTCTAGCATTTTCGCAAATAGTTTCCAACGAGTCATACCGTATAAAAGGGGGTAAAGGTTTAATAAAGAAAAAATAAAACAAAGAGAAAAGAAAAACTATTTAAAGTGGGACTGCAATCATAAGCATAAAGAAAAACCTTAAGCAAAACTATAACATCGTATCATTAATATCGTTTTAGCTACAGTTTTATGAAGCTTATCTCGACTAAAGTCGTGGCAAACACTCTTCGAAAAGCTCGTAATTTTTCGACCTACCGTTTTCCACCTCTTCATTCCCCTCCCCCCTTTTCCACTTTTCTTCTTTCTCTTTCAATTATTTTTCACTTTTTTATTCTTTCTTTTTTCTTTTTCTCGTCACATGCTACGCCTGGTATGCTCGTTGTCGTTATTGCATTACAAAGCTTTTCGCGTCGCATTAACTCATAAAGCTTACACGCTTTTAAGCATGTGTTTGAACCTAAGTGTACGTGTGTCTATGTGTGTGTGTGAATATATACATAAGTGTATACGTAGAAATAGGAAATTTGTGTTTGTGTATAAGTTTCATATAAGTGTTCGGTAGCAATGTATGTATATACACATAACCATTCAAAGCATATATCGTGACTACTAAGAGAGAAAGAGAGACAGAGAGGAAATTGCAATCGATCGTAAAACGCGAAGTTTAAAAGTAGAACTTTTTCCTGTTCGTTTATAAGAACTACGGTACGAACGTGGATATCTTTTATTGCAACATAATTATCTGTCCTGTCACATTTCTTTTTCAACTGGATATATATCATATGTACGTACATATATATGTTAGATATGTACTTTTTGAAAACTACACCTGCTTTATATTCTGTCAGTCATTGTGCCTTCATTCTATTTAATGTCAGATTATACTATAAATGGTATTTATTTGAAATGTAACTTTTTTTTTTTGGAAAGGTTAACGAACATTTTTTTTTTTTTTTGTAGTCAAACGAAAAGTGTCTCATCATGTGTGGTTAATTAAAAATAATTCATACGGCTCGTTTTGATAACATAATAATAGATAATATAAAAGAATAAAATTAACCTATATATTGTAAGTAAAAATAGGAAAACATTTTACAGAAACGTGAGCTTATAAATGTTTTATTAAAAAGTCTGAGAATATACAGAATATGTTAATAAATTTTCTAAGGAAAAAATTAAAATACCTCGTGTAATTTAATAGAAATATGTATTATAATTAAACTTATTCATAATACATTAAACAATTATTTTTTTAATCATTTCTATATTGATATAATAATTAAAAAAAATATAAATTAATTTCTATCAAATTAAATATATTTAAAATATATATATATATTCTAATATGGATGTGCATTTTTCAATTAGGTTTATCAAAAGTTTAACGTTACATTTAATAATAATTTCAATCAAAGAATAAAAAATGTTATAAGAAATAAATGAAATTGTAAAACATTGATCAGTAAAAGAAAGAACATTCAAACATTCATTAATTGTTTTATTTGTATTTCCAGAAGCTTATTTTATAACACGCGTATTTACTTTTTATTTTTATATGCATAGTAATAATCCATATGATTGAATGTATATAAAGATAGAGAGAGAAAAAGAGAGAGATAGGAAGGTGAAGGAGGAGATCAAAGTCAAACGACGATTTGTATTGGTTATATGTACATATCTCTCGACGAATTCTAAGAAATTTGTCTGTTGTTAAATACAAGTAGAAGAACATTAACGAATAACTAGTAAAAGTGAGTAAGTGGGGTGAGAGGTGACTCATACATCAAAAACATCTTATTTTGATTTTGAATGGCGTAGTGACAAGACATTTTGCGTTCTCTCTATCCGTGTAAGTATTTATTTAACCGTAATTAAATAATATTTTAATACGTATTTATTTATGTATGTATAAAATAAATATTTTAAATGATTTATAGAAACATTTTGTATAAAGATACTTTTAATAATTTTATTATTTTTTTTTTAATATAAAATGTAAAATCTGTAGAAAAATAAAATTAATAATCTGATAATTCGATAAAGTAATCGAGATAAGAAATTTAGAAATTTCACTTTATTCGCGTGCGAATTCATTTTTATTAATTTGTAATTCTCTTCGAATAAAGTATCAATTAAAGATTAGCAATTAGCTTGAATATGATAAAAGAAAATAGTTAGAAAATGTTTTCAATTGAATTGGTTAATACCTTCGTTAGCGTTTCTCAGTAATTATCCGATTATTATCTGTTTTATCCTTATTACTATTTTTAATTGTTTGTACTTATGAATTTTTTGTATAAAAATTGTTTCTTTTTTTATTTTATCTAATACAATTAGAATCCTTTTCTCCCATTCACTCGCACACGAATAAAGACTTATTTAAAATGTCTTTTTAAAAATGGTCTCAAATCATACTTACTCAAATAAATACTTCCACTAATAAATTTCAATAATTATCGAATTATTATCATTTATTATAATTAATATTTTCAATATTATACCTTGAACAACAAAATAGGAAAATTGTAGTGTATAAAAATCGATATATCTATGACTTCCATTTTAATTTCATACAATTTTCATGGGGTAAACCATGACAAATAGCATTATCATCCATTTCTTTCTGTAAAATAACAAATGAACATGGATAAAATGTGGGGAGAAAACTAAGATAGAAGAGAAACATACATACACACACAATACAATACGAATGATCAAACGTTATATTACATTCATCGTCACGATCCATTCCTCTCTTGGTTGTTCAGGTACAACCACGTAATAACGTGGTATTGTTAGGTTGCAACGTAGACAGGAAATGGTGGAGGGTGTTTTGCAGAAGGGGATTGGAAGCTTGCCTAGGATGATTATCAGAGCGTCAATGACTGGACAATTGGCAACGATCGGGAATCATTCATTCTACCATCAATAATGAAGTTAGTATTCACAATTTATAATATATATGTGATATTCTTACGTAATGGGTATATTTACTATGTGCTTTCATTCGTCACACTTTTTTTCTTTTCTTTTATCTTTTCCTCACCCTAAACCCACCCCCCTTCATATTCCCCTTCTCTTCCACATGTCATCCTGTCTTCTTTTTCAGACCCTTTTGAATGATCCAAAATGAGAAAGTGAAGATGTATTCTTTCGTACACGACTTGTATAAAGAAATAGATAGAGTGTAAGAGAGTGAGAGAGAGAGGGAATGAATGAATGAAATGACACGCGTTTGAAACGAAAGGTTTCGAGTGTTAGTGACGACTGTCACTGCCAGGTGTCAACGTTACCGGTAACAACATCCTAACATCACTCCCACTCTCTACCAACGATTCGTTCCTTTAGGGGTAAGCAAGTACTTTGGTAGCCTTTATTTTCATCCCTTCTTGTATCGAAGACTTCAATAAGATTGTGTGTTGTGTGTGAGAAAGGGGATGGGGGAAGTTTGTGTGAGTGATAGTAAATATACGTGTGGTTGTTTTCATTGTCGACTAATAGCAACTTCCTACGAAGTGAACGTTCCTAGACAGCAATATCGAGTATCCTCCTTTTAGTCACAATCGATGTGCGGTTTTGTAACTATCGATAGTATCGAACAACCTAGACCAAACCTCCTTTCTAATAGCATACGCGTTTGGTATATACAAGTAGTAATAATTTAGTAAGTATTATATATACTGTATATATATAGGTATATAAATGATTTTGTTGTTAGTATTTCTTCAATCATTTAATCGATTCTAATACGTATCTTTGATTGTACTTTTATTTTTATTTTGACAAAAATTATTTACATTTATTACAGGATTTTTTCAGAAAATTATTATATACTTACATTATTTGCTTTATTGCTTTTAATTACATTTACAAGGTAATATGATTTCGTTGCTATTAGAATCCTTTATTTAATATTTTTTCAATATGTTATTTTTATGTTTTTTTTTTTTTGGTAAGAAATTCTATTTATTATTAAGAATAGTTGAAAGTATTTAATAATCACATGATTGTCGGTATGATTATTGTTAATTTATCTGGAATTCTAATTAATTATTGTAGTAATTTCAACTTCTAATTGATCGTTCTTTTGTTTCTTCATTTTTATTCAGAAGAAATTAGTCAACGCATAGAAAAATCTCTTTTAATTTTTATCAATTAACTTTAAATACAAAATAATTAAAATGTAAACAAAAGAAATAAATAACCTTTAATGTAATTTTAATTAAAAAATAAACTTAAAACTCTATATACTAAAATAATAAAAATTGAATACTTTAAAATTCTATATTCAAATAATACTCACATACTATTTTTATTCGTATAACAATAAATATACAAATAAATGTATTACATAAAAATATTGTCAGAACCTGTGATATATTCAAAATTTTTCATGAAATTTAAATTCGAACAACACAGAATAATCTTTTAATAAAATTTTTGTCTTTTCTTTTCTTTTCTTCTTGTTTGTCCGTTTCTTTTTTACGAACTAAACGTACTATAACAGTGTTTTTATTAATAAACGTTACTACACCGATTATATATCGATAAGCGATAGAGAAAGGAAGAAAAGTAGAAAGGAAAAAAATGAAAGAGAGAGAGAAAGAGAGAGGAGTGAGTGGGGGGAGGGGTGGGGAGTTTTCTCTTATGGAAAACGGCGATGTACTAGCGTTCGTACGTTCGTTCGTTTTCACGAGCTTGAACGAACTCCAAAAGAAATGCGATAACAACGAAAACGACGAGGTGGTAGTAGAGCAATGCAAGCGAAAAATTAATAGGCAGGTAGTAGACGGATTGGCTGAATGATTGTCGAACATTTATTCGACGCATGCAACAGTTGTTCTTTTCAGGAATACGAAAGATATTGACAGACAAATTTCGCGGAATCAAGTTTATAGAAGTTCTGCAACCGCAATATAACAGTACGAGCGTGTGTATACGCATGCATATTATATTATATACCTTTACGTGCGTGCGCGATAACAAAAATATTATTTTAAGTTTAACAATAACATATTATTTAGGATATTGAATTGTTTGAAGAAGAAAATTGTTAACCGAGTATGAAATTAAATGTTAACCTAGATACGGTTATAATATAATTAAAATGATTGCATACACGTGGAAATATTTGATCTTGTTTTTCTTGAGTATTGTAAATTTATCTAAAATTATGGAGGTAAGAAAGGAAATAATAATTTTTATAAACAATCTATATATGTATAAAAATTTAGTGTAACTTTGTTGGTTTACAATGAATTTTGAAACTATTGAACTAATCTTAATGAAATTTTGTTTATTTCGTGTGATTTTGTCCAACATAGAATATAAATTAGTTTTTATTATATTTTTTTTTATTTTTTAGATTTATTATTTAGAGATTATCTAGATATCCACGTTCTGTAAGTATTCAATAGATGGCGCTGTATTACAATGCAATTATTTCAATTTATTCATTTCACACGTTTTGTGTAGGTTAATCTGACTAACTTAAATAGTTTAAAATTATAAATGAACGTTTTATAACAAAACACGTGACCGGAGGACTCTAGTATCAATATAAAAATATTGTATAAAATTATTTCAATGAAATTATTAAATATTAAAAAAGAAAAGTAAGGAATATTAAATGTAAATTTAAAACATGAATGAAAATTGATTTAAAAAAAGTTCTACTGAAATATATTTTTCAATGCACTTTAAACGAGAGCCGAGATTTTTTTCATCGATTTGAAAAGATATGCAACTAAACGCGACGTGATAAGCGATATTATACGTTACCTTCCCCTTCGTTTTTCTTTCCCCCTTGGTGGAAGAAGCTTTTTAAATGACGACGGTACCCAGCTGAGTCACGGTCAAAGTCAGATACAGGCATGATATCCGGCTAACTAGAGGGGTGGGTGGTAAAAAAAAAAAGAGGAAGAGAGTGGTAGTAGTAGAAGAAGTTGAAAAGAAAAAAAAAAAAGAAAAAAACACAAGCGACGACAGAAACATCCGGTTCCGGTCTTAGGGAAAAGAACCACCGGTTCTTTTAACGCACTACGCAGGGAGGTGGTTGTAGTGGTGGGGGGTTCTTCGTTAATTAACGTTGCGTTTCTGTACTGCGTATCTTAGAAAATACATACACGCATACACGAACACACGTATGTATTGTTTGAGGGTAGGAGTAGTGGGAAAGGGTTAAAGGTTTCTTCGTATTTTTGTTTTCTATTATTTATACAACGAAATTAAGAATAAAGGAAAAATTTCGTACACTTCATTATCTTTTTATTTTTCGTGTATTAAAAATTTATCCAAATTAAGCAAAAATAATGAATTTTTATCTAGCAAATAAAAATAAGAATTGTAAATAATTATTTTAAGTAATAATTAAACAAAAATAGTATATAATAATATTATAAAATATTAAAATGAATAATAAAGTTCAATGCATGAATTTTTATTAAGAAACATACTATTATTACAATTCGTTGAAAAATTTTCTTTACAATTTTGATTCGCATTCAATTTTAAAAATAAAAAAACTTGACGAAATATTTTTAATTAGATTTTGTATGATTTTTGAAATAATTTATCAAGAAAAAAAAATACGAAAAAAAATTGTTTCCTTAACTGTGTGTTTCATGACAAGCACGTGGTGTACGTGCGTGAGCGTTTGCGTGATCGAATACGTGCGTGTTTTAAATAACATACGATCGATTTTGCATTCATGTGTGTGTTGACTTCGATGACAGAGAGGATTTCACACTTTTTTCTTTTTCTTTTTTTTTTTTTTTGAATACCTTCGTAACCCTTGTAAATGTTCGATCGTTCGACAATTATATTATATACCTTTTTTCTAGACTACAGTTATAAAGTTAGTTGAGTATCGACTAACGATAGCGTGCAAAACGAAGAACAATTTTTTTTTTTTCAATCTTCTATCCATTTCCGATCATAAATAATTATAATGATCATCATGAGGTATCCTTATTAGAAGGTATCTTTATCGTCATTAGTATAATCACTATTATTATCGTATTAATTTAGTTACTTGTCTATTATTATCTTTTTTTATTTTTCTATTATAGTAAATTATAAACGGAAGAATGGATTGAAATATAATAATTGGAATTTAGAATTCCTTTTTTTATCCCTGGGAATAAAGAAAGAAATGAAAGGAAAAACAAATACCCCAGGAAGAGTTGTTTTTATTGAACATAACTCGATTATTACTCGGTAGAATCTTTTGTGGATAATACGGTTTATTTATCGTTTATTTTTTTCCCGAGTTGAGAATAGCATAATAAAAGGTGTAATAAAAGGGTTCAATTATTTCTTTTTATTTTTAGAAAATATGGATAAAATTTAGGAGGTGTGGAATAAAAATAATTTCTTCGATTATACGATAGAGAAAAATATCAAACGTTTGAGTTCCTATATTACAAATAATTTATTGTATTATATTATATTTTCCATAAATAAATAGTTTATTAGAGGGATCTACAAATATTTTAATAAATTATATCTTAGATGAATCAACTCAAGGGTATTATATTAAAAATGAACTAAAAACTCATATTTCTATAAATAAAATAGTAATGAAATGATGCATTTAAAATAAAATTAATTAAATTATATTTATCTTATGCATTCCTCAAATAAATAAAATTCCCCCAAAAAAATAATTATTGAATTGATATAGAAATAAAACCTAAATGCATTAATATTAAACAAATTTGAGGACACATTGATATCTCAAAAATACATAAAAAAAGTATTATCCATTCTATGAGTTACATAAAATGTTCCATAATTTATTAACCCATATGTTTGATCTAACCAATGAGTAAAGAATTTTATTTTCCATAGTAATTCTTATTGGTTTATCCAGTACGTATTATCATATATAATGAACACACACACACACATATGTTTTACAAAGATGTAGAGTCTC